ATAATATTTATTTAAAAACAAACATTCTGATAAGAATACCTCTTTGTTTTCTAATGAGATGGACTCTTGGCTTTCCAATAAGAACACATTTTTAACGATGAATAAAACCTCTTCTAACTATAACATATCCTAATTTTCTATTTCTATATAAGAAGACCTCTTAGTCGTATAATCAGAAGTCATATCTGTCATCTAATACGGAAACCTATACATCTTCTAAGAAGAAAATGTCTTGATTTTCTGATTTGATAAATATAAAACATATTGATTTTCCAATAAGAAGTTTTCTTGTTCTTCTAATGAGAAGAGGAAGAACTCTTGGTCTTATAATAAGAAAAAAGACTTTGCCTTCTAAAAAAGACCACATATTTTTCTCAAAATAAAGCACGTTTGTCTTCTAATTAGAATACTTCATTTGGCAATAATAAAAAAAGCATAACTTCTGATATGAAAACCTTTTGATAAAACGACCACATATTTTTTACATAAGAAAACCACAGAATAAGAAAACTTTGTCTTCTAATTAGAATACTTCTTTAAAATTTGATAATAATAAAAACACCATTACTTCTGATAAGAAAACCTATTGATATACCAGTGATTCGAAGTCGTGTTTGTCTTCTAATAATAACTCCAATGACCCCTTTTTTCTTCTCATAAGAATTTCTCTTCTTATTGCAATAAGAATACATCTTGGTATTCTAATAAGAATATTTATTTTTAGAAAACATAATAAAAGGACCACAATATCTTATAAGAAAATGGCTAATAAGAATAGACATTTGTCTTCTAATTAGAATTGAAGACATTTTGTAATTCTTATAAGAATATGTAAGAATATTTATTTTTAGAAAACATAAAAAAACGACCACAATGTCTTATAAGAAAATGACTTATGGTCTTCTAATAACAAGACACTTTTGTCTTCTAATTAGAATGTTTCTTTAACTTTCAATAATAATAAAAACTCTTGAACTTCTAATAAGAATATCGTTTTGTATTCTAATAAGCTGATATTTGAGTCTAATACGAAGATATCACCCATAAAATCAATAATAATATCACCCATAAAATTAAATATTCGTCTTCTAATAAAAGACACCCTAATACTCTAATTAGAAATCCTCTTGGTGTATAGACGCGGAAAAAAATCCAGGTTCTAGGAGGTCATATTATATTTTTTTTACTCGACGCCTTGGGAGTTTAGATTAGTCACTGGATAACACAAGGCCTAAGGAAAGCTGTATATGCTCTGAAAATATTTTTAAAAATCCTCGCTCCAAGAATTCTGAAAATATTAAAAAAATCACACATCAAGAGGTCAGAATATCCACTGAGAACATTTTTAAAAAATCCGCGCCTTAGGAATCCTCTGAAAATATTGTTAAAAAATCCACGTCTGAGGAGGTCAATACAGCCTTCGAAATATTTCCTAAAAATCAGTATGGACTCTAAAATCCTTAGGAGATCAGAATATTCTTTATAACTATTTTTAAAACTCCACGCCTTAGGAGGTCAGTATAGCCACTGAAAAATTTTTCAAAATTCACGCCTCAGAATCTTTATTTTGAGTTTCTGACATCCTTTATTAATCCCAATTTTTAAAATTATCTTTTAAAATATTCTTAACCCTATTACACATTTCCAATGTTAGGCCAGTATTTCTCAGATCCAACACCTTCAAATGCTTATTGCGATCAATGACATTTAGCAACTGTTCACCAAAATTCTGAAAAAAAAATTATCCAAAATTGTTATAAATTTTCCCTATAAAAATATTTTTCTCCTTACCATTCCCAATTCATTATTACTCATATCGATATACCACAATGTCCGATTATGACATAGAAAATTAACGAACAACAATGTTATGGTATCGGTAATAGAACATCCAGAAATATCAACATTTCTCATGGGCAAACAATCCAAAATACCAAAGATGGCTGCCGCACCATCGCTACCAATTGGATTTAGACGTAAACTTATTTTCTCTAAATTTAAATTCTTGATAACGCGGGCAATAATGTAGGCGCCATCGGAGGCTAGGGAGAAACAAATATAAAAAAATTATAAATTTTATTAAATTACGAGATTTGCTCTTACTTATTTTATTATTTGTCAAGTCCAAATATTTCAAGGTGCCAAAAGACTCCTTGTTACAGGAACCCAGAAATTGCCGTATCCCCTCATCGCCCAGACTACAGTGTTCCAATGACAAGGCGGTGAGATGGTGACAACCCTTATCGAGGCTGTGAGCAAATAATCCCAGTTGATATGGTTCCAGAGTGGTGTTGTGGAAGCTAATGGAAGGTGTGGCAAGAAAGGGAAAATGTTGTTAAAGGAAGCGGAAATTATGGAAACAATTAAAGAAGAGATTTCAGCTAAAGGAGTATTTGGAAATATTCTTTAAAATCTATGCCTTAGGAGGTCAGTATGGCCTCTGATAATATTCTTTAAAAATCCAGGCCTTAGGAGGTCAGTATGGCCTCTAAAAATATTCTTTAAAAAACCACGCCTTAGATGGCCGGTAAGGGCTCTGAAAATATTTGTCTTAAAAATCCACGCCTTAGATGGTCGGTAAGGGCTCTGAAAATATTCTTGAAAAATCCACGCCATAGGAGGTCAGTAAGGGCTCTATGCCTTAGGTGGTCAGTATGGCCTCTGAAAATATTCTTTAAAAATCCAGGCTTTAGGAGGTCAATATGGCCTCTGAAAATATTCTTGAAAAATCCACGCCTTAGATGCCCGGTACGGGCTCTGAAAATATTGGTCTTAAAAATCCACGACTTAGATGGTCGGTAAGGGCTCTGAAAATATTCTTGAAAAATCCACGCCATAGGAGGTCAGTATGGCCTCTGAAAATATTCTTTTAAAAATCCACGCCTTAGGATGTCCAAGTGGACCAAAAAGTCTACTTATACTTAGGTGATCCTATTGGAATACTATGAGGCCTTCTTATTAGAAGGTCATGATGTTTTCTTATGAGAAGACAATGAGGTTTTCTTATTAGAGGACCATGAAGTCTTCCTATTAGAAGACCATGAGGTCCTTTTATTAGAAAAACATGACAATTTCTTATTAGAATATCATAAGGTCTTCTTATTAGAATACTCAGTTTTCTTCATATGAGGAAACCATTTCCCCGCACTTACCAAAAATTCACCAACTCATGACACTGGGCCAAACCCTTGGCCAAAATATTCGCATCCTTGCGTGACATTGTATTACAGCCCAAATAGAATTGTGTTCCAATAGTTTTCGTACAATATGTCAGCCGTAATGTATGCAATTCCGGTAGATTACTCAAAATGAAATCAAGTGGAATGTGATCTGAAACGAACAACAACAATAACAACAACACGATAAAGATATTTCTAAGCAAAACGACAGATGTCAACAAAAGGCCTAGTCCTTTGTCTTACCATTATTGCCATCCATGCTGGGCTGTAGGTAGTTTATCTCCAATTGATTTATGTAACCCCCACAAATGTCCAACACCGTTGTCTGAACATTTTCCTGTTCGTATTCCGTGGTGGGGAGATTTTCGATGAACTCCTGCAAATGCCGTTCCATGTAAATGTTAAGCCATGATTTTGTCACTTTTTTACCCTTTTGTCCGGGACAAGGATTGGCAAGGGTGGGTGGCTCAACTGGCCGTGGGGGAGTACAGGGATAGCTATGCGTCCGGTAGTAAAGGGTTTTCCAACGGTGTTGATACGCTTTACGCCAAAAGAAATCATCACGAATGTGGGCGCATAAAATCTTTAACGGAAGATTGACATCCAAGTTGCTTAGAATGTAGTTGCGATCCTTCGGTTCGGTCAACTCTTCGTAGACGGGATTGTCTATTACAGCGGAAATGAAATGATGATTGCAAAATACGCACACACATACACATTCGCACATAAATAAGTAATAAATAAATATTCAGTTGACATTGGTCTTATTGTTAACATGAACGAGTTCCATACCACACCAATTTTCGAGTAAGAAATCCAATACCAAATGCCGCAGACTTTTGGGTTGATAAACTTCGGTAGAACCTTCGGTATCTTCAAGATTCAGATGAAGGGATTTTGCCAAAGATTTTGGAAATTTACATTGTTTCAGATCGAAATAAGTCTTGAGGGTATTTAGGTCCACAGATATTGGAAATTCGTTGTAGGTGAAATCCATGGTTGGGTGCTCGTTTGAATACTGAAATATTTGAAAAGTGTGGGGGAAGGAAATCGGTTTGTTTATAAACAAACAACGACGCAATTGTTGCTAAGGTGACAAGGAAGAACCGATACGATGTTGTTGTTAGAGATGTCTTTCTGGATTTTTAAAGAATATTTTCAGAGGCCATACTGACCACCTTAGGAGTGGATTTTTAAAGAATATTTTCAGAGCCCTTACTGACCATCTAAGGCGTGGATTTTTAAAGAATACTTTCAGAGCCCTTACTGACCATCTAAGGCGTGGTTTTTTAAAGAATATTTTCAGAGGCCATACTGACTTCCTTAGGCGTGGATTTTTAAAGAATATTTTCAGAGGCCATATTAACTTCCTTAGGCGTGGATTTTTCAAGAATATTTTCAGAGGCCATATTTTCAGAGCCCTTACTGACTATCTAAGGCGTGGATTTTTAAAGAATATTTTCAGAGGCCATACTGACTTCCTTAGGCGTGGATTTTTAAAGAATATTTTCACAGGCCATACTGACTTCTATAGGCGTGGATTTTTAAAGAATATTTTCACAGGCCATACTGACTTCTATAGGCGTGGATTTTTAAAGAATATTTTCACAGGCCATACTGACTTCTATAGGCGTGGATTTTTAAAGAATATTTTCACAGGCCATACTGACTTCTATAGGCGTGGATTTTTAAAGAATATTTTCACAGGCCATACTGACTTCTATAGGCGTGGATTTTTAAAGAATATTTTCACAGGCCATACTGACTTCTATAGGCGTGGATTTTTAAAGAATATTTTCACAGGCCATACTGACTTCTATAGGCGTGGATTTTTAAAGAATATTTTCACAGGCCATACTGACTTCTATAGGCGTGGATTTTTAAAGAATATTTTCACAGGCCATACTGACTTCTATAGGCGTGGATTTTTAAAGAATATTTTCACAGGCCATACTGACTTCTATAGGCGTGGATTTTTAAAGAATATTTTCACAGGCCATACTGACTTCTATAGGCGTGGATTTTTAAAGAATATTTTCACAGGCCATACTGACTTCTATAGGCGTGGATTTTTAAAGAATATTTTCACAGGCCATACTGACTTCTATAGGCGTGGATTTTTAAAGAATATTTTCACAGGCCATACTGACTTCTATAGGCGTGGATTTTTAAAGAATATTTTCACAGGCCATACTGACTTCTATAGGCGTGGATTTTTAAAGAATATTTTCACAGGCCATACTGACTTCTATAGGCGTGGATTTTTAAAGAATATTTTCACAGGCCATACTGACTTCTATAGGCGTGGATTTTTAAAGAATATTTTCACAGGCCATACTGACTTCTATAGGCGTGGATTTTTAAAGAATATTTTCACAGGCCATACTGACTTCTATAGGCGTGGATTTTTAAAGAATATTTTCACAGGCCATACTGACTTCTATAGGCGTGGATTTTTAAAGAATATTTTCAGAGGCCACAGGCGTCGATTTTTAAAGAATATTTTCAGAGACTATATTGACCTTATAAGGTGCGGATTTTTATGAATATTTTCAGAGGCCATACTACTGACCTTCAAAGTCTTGGAATATTTTGAAGAATTTAAAGAATATTTCACAGGTCATATTGACCTCCTAAAGCATTAAATTTTAAAATAAAAAAAATCCGATCCTATTGAATTCCTTCGAATATTCTGCGATTACATTGAGCTTCCTTTAAAATTCCAAAGCAGTAGGTGGAAAAATGTTTCGCTTCTCTGCCTATTCCTCCCCCCTATTTCAAGATTTCTATTGATATTCAAAGCAATTCATAAACGTCAACTATTTAAATATTGGCATTTGCCAAAGTCGGATACATATTAACAAAGGCATTTGTGTATTGGTTGGGTTGTTTTTCTTATACCACAAACCAGACAAACACACCTACACACACACAGCAAATATATTTACATTTCTTACCTTTCTTTGCCAAGGATGTTTTATTTATACAACATCCTTTTATTGTTGATGTTGTTTTTGTTATTGCAAAAGATAAAGAAATGAACAAGTTTCTGCTGTCAGCATCTCATGTCAATTCATTCAACCACCGAGTCGGATTATGGTTTTCAAGTGCCACAGAAAAAGGAGAAGAAGAAGCAGTGGAACAAGTCAGAAACTGAAGGTGTTCCAATGGTGTTGGCATTGGCAAATTTATCTGGGATTAAGTTGAGATTATGGCAGCTGACATGACTTTGGTGAAAATTCCAAGTAGCAGCATGATTAAGTTGTTCATTTCCCAAAAAAAGGTGGCTGGCAAAAGGTATTCTTCGTTCTAACATTTTCACTTTCTTCGAGAGTCAACCCAAAAATGGAGAATAATTATGGGGGGCTAGAAATTAATAACCATACTCAAATTTCATGACAAGCATTATTATGGCCAAATTATGCACCTCTTATAAAACGTGGCCATACCATGTGAGTGTGTATTTGTGTCATAATGTTATCTTTTTAGATTGCCCTCTTGAATATTTGGGGGTTTGGTGTATTATTGCTGTAAAGCAATTTATTTTGAATTATTTTTTATGTGTTTTTTTTTCTCGCTACACAATCATTCGCAAGATGCCATAACCAACCAGTCAGCCCGGCAATTTTACATAGACCACAGTGAAAATGGCAAAACATTACATTGACAATTTCCAATTTTATAGATCACAAATTTGTTTAGGGAAAAAACTCCGAGAATGGTTTGTTGCCTAGAAATTAAATTGGGAAGAGGAAATTATTATGAATACCGACTTATTACAGGAAACCGGAAATAAGTTATATTCGGTGTGGTAATAAAGACAACACATTTATTGAATGGGGTTTCCAGCTCAGGGTGGCAATAATGGACTACAAAATATATGTGGGCAGTAGTAAACTAAATCAAGGGAATCTTAAAAAAGAATTTTACAATTTAAAAGAAAAAAATTAAAATAAAAATATCAAACTTTCTAATGGAGGTCTCTGAAAAATATTTTTTTAAAAAATCCTCGCCTTATGGAAGCCTCTAATGGAGGTCTCTGAAAAATATTTAAAAAAAAAAAATCCTCGCCTTATGGGAGCCTCTAATGGAGGTCTCTGAAAAATATTTTTTTAAAAAATCCTCGCCTTATGGGAGCCTCTAATGGAGTTCTCTAAAAAACATTTTTTAAAAAATCCTCGCCTTATGGGAGCCTCTAATGGAGGTCTCTGAAAAATATTTTTTTAAAAAAAATCCTCGCCTTATGGGAGCCTCTAATGGAGGTCTCTGAAAAATATTTTTTTAAAAAAAATCCTCGCCTTATGGGAGCCTCTAATGGAGGTCTCTGAAAAATATTTTTTTAAAAAAAATCCTCGCCTTATGGGAGCCTCTAATGGAGGTCTCTGAAAAATATTTTTTTAAAAAAATCCTCGCCTTATGGGAGCCTCTAATGGAGGTCTCTGAAAAATATTTTTTTAAAAAATCCTCGCCTTATGGGAGCCTTTAATGGAGGTCTCTGAAAAATATTTTTTTAAAAAATCCACGCCTTATGGTAGCATATAATGGAGGTATCTGAAAAATATTTTTTTAAAAAAATCCTCGCCTTATGGGAGCCTCTAATGGAGGTCTCTGAAAAATATTTTTTTAAAAAAACCTCGCCTTATGGGAGCCTCTAATGGAGGTCTCTGAAAAATATTTTTTAAAAAATCCTCGCCTTATGGGAGCCTCTAATGGAGGTCTCTGAAAAATATTTTTTTAAAAAATCCTCGCCTTATGGGAGCCTCTAATGGAGGTCTCTGAATTTTTTTTTTTTTTTAAATCTACGTCTTATGGGAGCCTCTAATAAAGGTCTCTGAAAAATATTTTTTTAAAAAATCCACGCCTTTTGGTAGCATATAATGGAGGTCTCTGAAAAATATTTTTAAAAAAATCCACGCCTTATGGAAGCCTTAGGTAAATATTCTTATTCTGTTAAAATTCCACGTCTCATGGAGGCCTCTGAAAAATATTCTTTGAAAAAATCTATGTCTTATGGTGGCATGTGAAAAATATACCCAACCATTTTCCGCCATTTATATTCAAAATAATCAAAATCTAAAAGTAACATCCTCTAAGATTAGGTATGTCGCCTTAATATCAGATTTGTGATTTCAGAGGTTGGCTGTTGCTTCCCTTTATTACTTTCTTCTTTTCAGTATTTTTTTTTTTCGTGTTTAGCATTTTATGCAAATTTCCACAGATAATCGCGGCTTTATGTCATGTAATTTTCGGTCATAATCATTTTGTAATAAACACAACACTTAACGCCACCCTCCAACCAGAATTCAAAAAGGCAATAAAAATATCCGCTTATAGCTAAGAAGAAAATCAAAAAAGCAGCAACACCAAAAGAATATCTTTAAACGATTTACTTGTTGTTGTTATTGTTTCATAGACTAAATGAAAATGCCAAAGTAACCATTACATCCTGATAACCCTCCAATGGACCTTGAATAAAATGAGCCATATTTGTGCCGACATCCAAACTTGTCGAACCATTTTCCGATTTCCATAAATTTATTTTGAATGCTGCCTCCATGGCTGTGGTATTGAAAAGTCCCGTGTGTGATATACCAAATGAAATGGAGTGTCCTTTGAAGCACCTCCAACTTAGATTGCCACCATAGCGGGCAAATTTAAGCGTTCCGCCCAAACTTGTTTCATTGTGAAAGAAATTCAAATCCATTGCTTCTTTGTCATCCTTGAAGAGATTCAAGCGTAGAGTTTTTTGCAGATTTATACCATTCGATGCCACATGGGCATATGTTAGACCAAGGGAGAGACAGGAACTGGAAAGGACATCTTAAGTCAAATTAAAATTTAAAAATAAAACTTACTTTTCAATTTCACCAAAAACACCCCGTATTAACGGAGCTCCATCAAGATTTATATTTGCAAAGAGGCCGGATAAAATGTTTAATTTTTCATGGGCCACTTTTTGAGTTATATAGCCATTGATGTTGTTCAATCCCCGGCTATTGGTGGACAATGTTAATCCCATAAAATCGAAAAAGGAAATTTAGAAAATAATATTTCAGAATTTTGTGAAACTCTAGATATTTTTATTGTCAAGGGTAATATTTTAGAAAAAAATCAAAAAACATACTGAGACAGTGGTTTTTTTGAAAGAATATTTTACAGACTTGTTAAAGAATATTTTCCAGAAGCCTCTATAAGGCGTGGATTTTTGAAAGAATATTTTCCGGAAGCCTCTATAAGGCGTGGATTTTTTAAAGAATATTTTTCAGAAGCCTCTATAAAGCGTGGATTTTTTAAAGAAAAGAAGCCTCTATAAGGCGTGGATTTTTTAAAGAATATTTTTCAGAAGCCTCTGTAAGGCGTGGAATTTTGAAGGAAAAATTTCCAGAAGCCTATTTAAGGCGTGGATTTTTTAAAGAATATTTTCCAGAAGCCTCTTTAAGGCGTGGATTTTTTAAAGAATATTTTCCAGAAGCCTCTATAAGGCTAGGATTTTTAAAGCTTATTTTTCAGAGACCTCCTTTAGGAGTGGATTTTTTAATGAATATTTTTCAGAGACCTCCTTAAGGAGTGGATTTTTTAAAGAATATTTTCCAGAAGCCTCTATAAGACGTGGACTTTTTTAAAGAGTATTTTCCACAAGCCTCTATAAAGTGTATATTTTAAAGGGTATTTTTTAATGGAGGAAGTCGGTTTTTTAAGGCTGTCCTAGGGTGGATATTTTAAATAATGTTTTTCAGTGGCCTCCACAAAACGCGTATTTTTTTACAAAATATATTTTAGAGTCCTCCATAAGATTTGGTTTTTTTAAGAATATTATCCAGAAGTATCTATAAGGTTTGGGTTTTTTAAAGAATATTTTCAGAGACCTCCAAAATGCATAAATTTGTAAATATATTTTTTCAGAGGACTACATAAGGGGTGGATTTTTAGAAGAACATTTTCAAGGGTCATAATAAGCTGAAGACAACTTCCCTCCTTCAGGGTTTAAATATTGAATCCCTTCATCTTAATTCCAAGGTACTTCATTAAGATTTCCTAAAAAGCATTATTGCAAAACAAAAAAACAACAATAATAATGTTATTTATTTTGGAGTATTAACTTTTCTTGTATCTCCTCCCCCTCCCTATCCCTCGCCCATCGTCACCATCCCTGCCAATTTCGCATATTTATGCTATTTTTCAATTAAAATCAAATTGTTTTTCTGTCTGCATATATCTTTTTTTATTGTTTTTCGGTTTTTTCACCGCTGTTTGTTTATTTAGGACTGTTCCCCATCCGACGCCATTGTGGAGAATTCTGAGTGGAGATGCTTTCTTTTTCGGAAGTTAGAATGAGCAATGTATGGCTGGCTACTCAACACTACAATTAATATGGAGGAGAAACACACACACACACACATGTGTGTGTGGAGGTCTTCGATGTGTACGATAAATGGATGAGTGTTGGAATCTAATGTGGTGGATACATCAGGTAAGTTTTTTTTTTGATTCAGGGTTCGAAGTTGGGTGGTATGATCTGAAGTGTTTAAAAAATTAAATTATAGAATGTGTATGAGGGGCGAGGAAATCCATTTCAATTGAACTGAAACCATTAAAATTAACTCACATACCTTTGTGTGTGTGGTGTGACGTGACAATGGTCACCCGTAACGTAAATCGATGACCAATTTTCAAGTTTAATTTATAAAAAAAAAAATACAGTGGGATAGAAATTAAAAAAATATTCAAAGGTTATTTTTCTAATTTTTTTAATTAGGGTTAAGATGGGTTTTTTAAAGAATATTTTGCAAAGGCCTTCATTAGACGTGGATTTTTTTAAATAATATTTTTTTCAGAGGCCTCCATTAGACTTGGATTTTTTTAAAGAATACTTTTTAAAGGCTATCCTGGGAGGGGGGTGGGGTGGTTGGATATTTTAAATAATATTTTTTAAAACCTACTCTAAGACGTGGATATTTTAAAGAATATTTTTAAAGCATATCCTAAGGCGTGGATTTTTTAAAGCCTATCCTAAGACGTGGATTTTTTAAAGCCTATCCTAAGACGTGGATTTTTTAAAGCCTATCCTAAGGCGTGGATTTTTTTAAGCCTTTCCTAAGACGAGGTGGATTTTTTAAAGCCTATCCTAAGGCGTGGATTTTTTAAAGCCTATCCTAAGGCGTGGATTTTTTAAAGCCTATCCTAAGGCGTGGATTTTTTAAAGCCTATCCTAAGGCGTGGATTTTTTAAAGCCTATCCTAAGGCGTGGATTTTTTAAAGCCTATCCTAAGGCGTGGATTTTTTAAAGCCTATCCTAAGGCGTGGATTTTTTAAAGCCTATCCTATCGGCGTGGATTTTTTAAAGCCTATCTTAAGACGTGGATTTTTTTAAGCCTATCCTAAGGAGTGGATTTTTTAAAGCCTATCCTAAGACGTGGATTTTTTGAGGCATGGATTTTGTAAAGCCTATCCTAAGGCGTGGATTTTTAAAGCCTATCCCAAGACGTGTTTTTTAAAGCCTATCCTAAGGCGTGGATTTTTTAAAGCCTATCCTAAGGTGAGGATTTTTTAAAGTCTATCCTATGACGAGGTTTTTTTAAAGCCTATCCCAAGGCGTGGATTTTTTAAGCCTATCCCAAGGCGTGGATTTTTTAAGCCTATCCTAAGACGTGGATTTTTTAAAGCCTATCCTAAGACGTGGAATTTTAAAATCCTATCCCAAGGCGTGGATTTTTTTAAGCCTATCCTAAGACGTGGATTTTTTAAAGCCTATCCTAAGACGTGGATTTTTTAAAGCCTATCCTAAGACGTGGATTTTTAAAGATTTTTTAAAGAATATTTTTCCAAAGATCTCCATAAGGCGTGTATTTTTTAAAGAATATTTTTAAAATACCTCCATAAGGCGTACATTTTTCAAAGAATTTTTTTCTGAGGAGTCCCATAGGCGTAAATTTTTCAAAGAATATCTTTAAGAGTTGGTTCCACTGTAGTATATTTTATTAAGTTAGATTGTGAGTACCCAAGATAAAGGTCACAAGTGGGAGGAATTTGAAATATATTTTTCTGTTTGTTTGCGTACTTTGTTGTTGTGGGATATCCATCATACATGAGTCTGCTTAAAAGGTTTTTAAACAGTTACTTTTTTTGAAAGTAACAAGTTTTTTTGGCCAGCACAAGTCTTTTTCTTTTTTGTAAAAACAAACAAAAACCACTTGACAAGCAAATCCTTACCATTTTCAACTCTCAACATCCTCCAAAGACATCGGATGGGAGGAGGATGGCAAAAGACAAAAAATTCGAAAAAAAACAGTTGTGATAAAAGTTTTTGCGAATATTTAGCACCACATAAATCTTGTATGGTTTAAGCGAAATACATTTTCATGTTTGATTTATAATGGGGGATTGTTTTTAAATATTACCCAGGTTTTTTGCTGGAGTGGTTTGAGAGGAGAGGGGTGGGATAACAACAAAAATCGTCTAACTTTATTTGTTATATGAATACATTTTTGTATTCAGTTTTCAAAGATCGTGAAAATATATTTTCTCTTTTGGAGAAATTCTGATTTGACTTCAGGTCCCCACGATATTTCAACATCTTTGATTATTGATTACTTCCCCCTCTTTGCAAAAATCCCCAAATGTCAATTTAGTATAATTTATGCCGATTCAAGGTTTCCAAAAATTCATTTAATATCTCCAAAAAAAAAAGAGCAAAACTTTTTTCGGCATTTATTTATGATTTGTTTCATTTTTTGGTTATTTTATTATTTTTGTTCTGTAACGGATTTCCGCTGACTAAACAAAACAAATCTCCAATTAATTGAATGAATTTAAGTTAATTGTCTTGGGTCATCCTTTCAACCCCCCTTTCGTCCATTTTTATTATAATTGACTCAGCTTGAAATGGGTTCAGCTGTGTCAGAGAAAGAAAAAACGCCACAAAATGCCGACAACAATCCTTGTTAATTGTTAAAATGAAATTCAAGGTTTTGGGTCATTGTAGCATAGACCCAATGGTGGCGCCACAATTTAACTTCAAAAATTATTATTATCATTTTTATTAATTTCATAAAACGGCGTTTTGTGATTTTTTTCTCTACTGCAAAAAAAGGGTTTTCCCGACAAAACTGTCAAAAGTTTTTGAATTAAATTAATAACACAGCGTAACTGAAACAATGGCCATTACAATGATTAAAAATCTATAAATCATAACATAGAAGGCAGAAAAAAATACAAAAAATATTTACTTGGAGATGCGGGGCATCGATCCCCGTACCTCTCACATGCTAAGCGAGCGCTCTACCATCTGAGCTACATCCCCATGTGAAGTTAGTTACTTATATCTGTTTGTTGTTATCGCCATGATATAGGGCATTTGTGTGTGTGTGTTTTCTCTTTGTTACACATTTAGTTTTGTGTATGATAAAAAATACAAATTTGAAATAGTTTGGTCAAATGCTGCAATTGCAGCCAAATCTATTGACCAGTTTAGTTACCAATAGACCGACCGGTTTTCTATTGAATATTAATTGTAATGCAGGTGTGGTATTTCAATGTCATTTACAAACCAAAAAATTGAAAAAACTGTATGAACAACAAGAAAACAGTGTTGAAATGTTATTAATTTGAAATATTTGAAAGAATTCTTAAAAATCCTTATTAAAACCCAAAATTTCTTTGGAATAGATCTCAAAAAAGTACCTCCTATATACAAACCTTTATTTTTTTAAATCCACATATGGTAAAAATTCTTAAAAATCCACGCCTACAAAAAAATTCTAATACAATAACACAATTTACATAAAATCGGAAGAAAAGATATATATAGGAGCTATATCTAAATCTGAACCGATATTCACGAAACTTAACATACATCATTCTAGACCTAATTCATTACGCTATGCCAAATTTCGTGCAAATCGAAAGATATATAGGGACTTTTGGACATTAAATCGGACGAAAATATATATGGAAGCTACATCTAAATCTTAACCGATTTTCACAAAATTTTACACACATCGTTCTAGACTTAATCCTTTA